TAAAAACTTAAAGAGATCTAATATTTTTCTCATTACATGTATTGTTTCTCTATATAATTTTCAGCATCAAATTTTAAAACAAATTATTGAAATGAGTAGATGATTAAGATTTAGGACTTAATTCTCAAACTTTTATTTCAAATCTTTAAAATTATATAGCAATCATTGCATTCAAGTGATTCAAAATTCTCAATTATTTAAATTTTTAAGTTTATTTAATTTATTCATGTTACATATTTGTCAAAATACAATTATAATAAAAGGAAATTTTTAATATTCTTTATTTTTAACTGTTACCTTACTATTTTTGTAATGTTATTTAAAAATAAAACAAATTTCTTGATATCAAATGTGATAAATGCATACTATCCATATATCTCTAAAAAAAAAAATGAAAATTGACGAGTCAAGTAATGAAATTATACCTAGGCAGGGATGTTGCAATCATAGGCTTAAGGGTGCGGACTCAAGGGTAGAGAGAGAAAAGAATGGCGCAAGCTGAAGGGTGGAGCCAGGGGGAGAATGGTGCGGGCTTAAAGGCAGACATACAAGTCGAAAGCCGGTCTGAAGAGGATAGCACGAGTATCGAGGTCGACGAGGATTACTAGTGAGAGGATAGGAGAAAAGGAAGAGAAAGAAATCAAGAATTAAGGAAGAAAGGAAAGCAGGAGGGGATTTTGACTAAAAATAGATTTTTAACGATGAATTACATATGAATCTTTCATCAGTAATTAAAATTTTTTTTTTACTTTTAGCAATGAATTATCGACGAAATCCATCTCTAATGCTTACCTTTTAGTGATGGACTCTATCGCTAAAAACATTTCCCTCCAAAACAAAAATTTTTTTAACCTTTTTTTATTAATATTTTTTTTAGCAATGGATTTTTACATCGATAATCTGTCGTTGAAACTTTTAGCAACAAATTAAACATTTTTCTCTCTAAAAAGAAAATTTTTTAAACTTTTTTTTATCAAAATTTCTTTTAGCGATAGATTTTTTCCGTAGATAATCCTTCATTGAAGCTTTTGGCAATGGATTACCGACGAAAAAAAATCTGTAGTTAAAAGTGACGTCAAATGTTTATTTTCCCATGTCAACTTTTAATGATGGATTATAGACAAAAATTTTTTCATTGGTTTTCCATTGATAATTTTTTTTTTTTATATTTTTGTCGGTAAACCGTTGCATATTCGTTAATAATTACTGGTAAAAAATTTTCATTGATAAAAATTTATTAGTATTGGACTTATTTCTGGTTATGTAAAATAAGTTTTGAATTCTAATTAAAATAAACTTTATAAATTAAGAAAATACAAACAAATATTAAAAATTTTGTCATATATAGGGCACGGGCTAAAAAGATATATGGAGTAATATATAGTCATAGTAACAACAAAACAAACATTTTATTTGGGAGTTGGTACAGATCGTGGAAAAGAAATATTAAATGCAAATAGGTATTTATTTTAGTAGTAAAAAAGAAATCTTAAAATTTTAGATTTAAATTTTATTATGTGTAAATTTGATTTTAATTTGTTAATAAATTAGTTTGATTGTTTAATAATTTTTTATATATGATATAACATTGATTATAATTTTATTAGTATTTGTAATTTCATAAATATTAAATCCTTTCCTTGACGTATCAACTTAAAGTTGTCATCATATTAAAGCAACGTAACATTAGACCCCATTCTTTTCCATCGACAAAATATTGTCCCTACCACAAGGAAATTTCAATGAAAATCTTGCATTTTTATTTCTTTGAAATTTATTACTGCTCCAGGCAAAGTCTTTGAAATTTTAGGCTTTGAACAAAACTAAATTGCCTCCTCGTGCGGCAGTAACATCGTTGACACATTTAAGTATTTGATCTTCTTTCTGATCTTTATCTATTTCCCAGTGTATGTGTTTTTTTAATTGTAATTTTATTTTTAAATTTCTTACTTTTATATTTATCTAATTAAAAAAGCTATTACGTGAAGATATTTTATTTATAAATTCATTAAAATTCAAAACCCTGAAACATCATCTTCAAAATCATACCAAATGATTCAAAAATCACTCAACCGAGTGTGTTTTAGTTTTCCTGAAAATTTTGAGAGCCATATTTCCTCAGGCTTATGTTAGACTTGTTTCATGTTATGTCACAAGTCAACAGTTGGAAGTTTCTAGGTAGGGATAGTTTCGTTTTAATTTTCGTCCATTTACTTTCTTCTTCGGATTACGTATGGCGATAATTGATTAAGACACATCAAGCTATAAATAAATAAATAAATATTAATTTTTTTTTATTACACAACTACTGACTTGGCTGTGAACCAAAGTAGGGTCGACTGATTGATTTTTGTTCATCAAAAAGGAAATAAAAAAAAAATGAAGTAAGGTTGAATATTGTTACTTCTTTTTCCCTACTGGAAGAATCATAAAGGTAAAAGAAGGGAAAAGAAATTTTGCCAATTAAGAAAGGAGGTGAAGTAAAGTAGAATTCTTTTCAAAGTTTTATTTTCTCCATTTTGCTTTTGCCTTTGGGTAATGTGAAAGGAAGATGATAACATGGGTTGCATAAAAAGTGGTGATTTCACGGGCTGATGAAACTTCAATTATTGTTCAATTTCAATAAAAAGAAAAAACAAAAGAAAGAAATGACAGGTAAAAGCAAATGAGGAGCCTTTAATAAAACAAAGATTTTATAAAAGTAATTGGATTTGTTAAATTCCTAAAATGAAAAAGTAATTTAGTCGAATATTATGTAGATATTGCCCTTGTACGTTAAGGCAGACTCGCCCATTATTCTCCTTAATGAGCTTTTATGGATGAAGAGTTAAAGTTTCCAAGTACCTAAAAGGCAGACTTGCCCATTATTCATGAAGTGCAAATTCCAACATGGTTGAATTGTAATTTAACAAATGAAATCATATTTCTGAACGCAAGTGATGTTATACGAGGTAACTCTTTCTTATTTTATTAACAATAAATGAAATAATAATAATAAGTGCACTTAAGGTTATGATATGTTTGTAGTGACATATTAACACTCCCTTGAGTAAACCCTAAAACCAAATTAAGAGAACAATTTCTCCCCTTATTTTTTGAATTAGAAATTTTTGTGGAAGGGATCATCCAAAAGAATCTTTCTTTAATTGGTCTACATGAAGACAATGAAAGAAAATAGAACCATTTTCTTTATCTTTTATTTGATAATAAAGTTGGGATGGAGATTCAAATTTTAAGCATCTTATACAAGAAAAAGAAGGATGTTCTTAGGCTTAGCGCCTTGGCCATTTTTTGAACAATATAAATGATCCAAATATCACAAGGAAAAGGGTGGTACGAATGCATAATGTTCATATATATATATATATATATATCTTACTTTTTTAAAATAAAAAATGAAAAGGTGGTCACCTCATATAAATTAAAATTTTTAACGAATTAGGTTAATTTATGAGTCTAATAAATCAAATCTGACCAAAGATTGAGCAAAACTTTTAAATTATTGATCATGATCCTATCCATAATCAGTACTTATGATATAAATATAGTGCCATAACTTTTTTTATGTTGCACATAAACTTTGTATTAAGCTCCTCACAATGATAATTTGTCTTTTCTAATACTTAGTGTCTAAGCATTACTAAAAATTTTTATAATTTTATAATATCTAAATGAACTATCAAATTTTACAAAAAAATTATGATTTAGAGAGTTCGCTTTTTTCGCCTTCGTATAGACCTAACTAATTATGTATTCGATTAATCCAAAATTAAATTAAAAATTAAAAAATAAAAATCTAATATAAAAGGTTTTAACATTTGATTAAAAACTTGGATTTGGTAAAATTGAAGCACTGTGATAATTAAAATATCAACACATTAACTCATAGATAATAATAATAATAATAATAAATTCAATCTTATACCAAAAGAAATTGTAAATAGTGAAATAGGCTTTGATAATTCCGTCAAGGAAAAGGGAGCCGAGTGGAATGATGATAGCAAGGTAAACCTTGCGCAGCTTATACGGCACTAAAAACTAAGCCAACTTTATCTTACCAATGTTCTTTTTTTATAGCCGTGTCCAACACTCTTTGATTTTGGTTAGTGAACTAATCACAGTCTTTCAAGATTACAACCTATTTTAAACATAAAAAATAAATCAAGAAAAGCTTACTTAAGTTAATTGAATAGGAGTTAAGTTTTTTTTTTTTTTTAACAGTCAGAGCTAAGCTTTTTCCCTTTACAAAAATAATCCCAAAAGTGTCAAGCTTAAAGCCTTCCATTTTTTTTTTATTAAAATAGAATTAAATCACCGAATGGTTAACAAACAACTCCACCCATCACTCAAAAGCTGGAGATGGTCAGGCTTAATCAAACAACATCATTGTCTAAAGCCAAAGTTACATCTGACAATCAATGTATTTATATTTGTTTATTTTATATTAAATATATATAAAATATAAAAATTATTATATCATAATTTATCTTAATATATTAAATATAAATTTTTTTAATTTTTATTAAACTTATATAATTTTTTAAAAATTTTAAATTATAAAATTTTTATATTTTTTAATATTATTTTTATATCGTATTATATTTAAAATTATCAAATTTTATAATTTTTATTCATGATTATTTTAATAATGGCTAATTTTTTATGAAAAATTCTTGTTTACATGTAATTTTTTATAAAAATATAAATATTATTAATAGGAAAATATAATACAAGATTGATATCTATACTTTGTCTTTAATCAACGTTTTCTATCACCAAATTAAACGAATAAAACACATTTTGGTTTTCTTTATTATGAAACAATTAATAATTGAGTTTATGACACATAATTTATGACATAATTAATTAATTAGGTTTTTAAAATTCATAATTTATTAACTGATAGTGAACCTTTTAGAAACGTTGTCAAGATGGAGCTAAAAGTCAAAACATGAAAACATGAATGGGGGACAAGCTGGCTGTATTTAAATCCACATAAAAAGAAAACAAAGCCAAAAAATCTCCTCAAATGAACAAAAATAATTGAGAAAAATGACAAAAGGAATGGCCCTCTAGAATTTATTGACTTTATGAACGTAAAAACCCCACCATCCAATGACCCAAACCCCCATGCCACTCCATGACCATGAGCTATTTCCCCATTAAAACCAATTTGTTAAAAGAAAATGACAAAGGGTCGGTGAAGATAATGGCTTGGCACCCACCTTCTCATAAACAAGCCTCAATCACTCCCCTGCCTCTTCCTTTGTCTTCCACCCAATTTTCTTCCCAAAACAACATGCTTGATCCTGGCACAAAACTGCCCAAATCTCAAGTCAGTTTGTCGGACCACATGGGAAGGAGATGGAGTAACAGTTATGATCATGCCGTGAGCTATGATCCTAGAGAGCAAAAGGCTGCTCAAAATTATGCCAATTATAGGAGTTGGAACAGCATGGAAGGGGGGTTTGGAGCTGAAACTTCCATGATTGAAGATGAGTCCGCTGTTTCCACTCCTCCTTTATGGAGAACTAGTCCTTCTAGGAGTCCTCCGCGTAGACAGAATATTAATTACCGATGCCTATCACCATCTTCAAAATCTCAAGCTATAGCTAGAGGCCAAAGGGAGCTTATGGAAATGGTTAGTAGAATGCCTGAGTCTTGTTATGAACTTACCTTGAAAGATCTTGTGGAGCAACAGCCTGTGGCTGCCGAACCAAAACAGGAGAGTTTTGCTGAAGGGAGAGGTGTGACCAATGAAGATACATACAAGAAAGAGAAGGGGAAGAAGATGCAGAACAATCCGAAACCCCTAGTTAAAAGAAGTGGGAGCATAAATAATGGAGGGTTTCTTCTGAAAATGGTGTTTCCAATTTCCTTGGGGTCTAAGAAAAAGAAGAAGAATGATTCGAATACTAATCATAATTGTAAGGTTTCCCCAAAGCCAATGGTATCAGATGCATCTGGTAAGAGTGTAGACAAAGAGTGGTGGAAGAAGAGATCTGGGTCGAGTGAGAGTGAGAGTGGTGGATCAACTATGAACAGTGGAAGCACCAAAAGCAGCCGCAGTAGCAGCACCAGTAGCAGCAGCAGCTGGAGGAGCATCAGCAATAGCAGCCGCCGGTATGTTATAACTGAAGATTTTGGTGATCTAATTTTGTGCTATCATAAAATTGTGAGAATTAACAAATAAAGTTATCAAATTGAATTTGTTAAATTTTAGGGGAAGATCTAGGAATCAATGTTTTGACTAATGGAGACCGAATTTCAGCTATAACAACTATAGATTATTGTATCTGAACTTGAGATTTGAGCAAAGTCGAAAAGGCCACTGTTTATCAGCTGTAAAATTTTGTTCGTGTGCAATGCAGGCATGGGGAGAGTGGTTGCTTGGCTTGGCTTTCATTCTGACTAGGAAAGCCAAAGCATCGCAGTGAAAGGGCAGCCTTCAGCCTTCTTTGAAAATGGAGTTCAATGTGTAATTATCTTTCCAATAATGTTAAATGTTTAGGTACAGTGGATACAGGAGATTGTCGCAGCGGAGAGATGCACCCTAATTAAGTCTGCGTATAATATTCAGAGATTCTAATTAAAGAGTGCTGTTTTTTTTTTGTTTTTTTTGGTTTTTGATTTCGCTTTCCAATATTTTCTTGAACTTTTTCCTTGCTCTTAATATTTTATATAAATTATTCTTATGGGACATTATGTTTTCATGTGTTTGGGATGAATCTGGGGTTAGAGAAATGTTATGCCGACAAGTACTGCTATCTTTTCTCCATTTTTTATTTTTTTTTGGCTGCGGCAGCTTTCCGAAGTGGCCAATCTACAATCTTCCAAAGTTCTACTCTTCTTCAAGTCAATGGAATCCTACGGCTTATACTGTGTTTCTCCAGGTTGATATTAATCCACAATTTTTTTTGTATTTGAGGTTACTAAGGATTGTTCTTTAATTATGGAAATTAAAAATTTAACATTCTAACAATAAATTAGATGATGATTGATTATAATTTTGATTTTGAAACTTATTAATAATTTTTATTAGTATTAATTTTAAATATATAACTTTTATAAAAGTAATAATATCAAGATTAAACAATATATCTATCCCCGATTTTATATAAAAAAAAGAAATAAAAAAAAGACTTTACCTTGCTCTACCAGCAATCTAGTAATATTTTCTTTTTATGAACAATTAAAATATCCACATCTAATCTAATATATTAATTTTGTAGAAAATAGAGAAATGATAGGATCGCAGGGAGGCACCTCATCCTTTTTTTATTCTCTACTTTTTTTATTCTATTTTTATTAAATTTATTTTTAATTTTTAATTTAATTTTATTTAATTTTTATTAAATAAATTTTGTAAAAAAGATCTAGTGAAATAAAGATAATAAAATAATTTGTATTCGTTTGATTTTGATTTGAAATAATCCAACATGGATATGTTTGTTTTTTTTCAAATCAAGATATTTTTTTTAAAAAAAATAGAGTTGGATTCAAGACGTATTTAAAATGTTTTGTCTCATTTCGGGTGTTTAAGTGACACCTTCATCTATTTTTTTTATCTTCTTTATTTTTTAAAATTTTTGGTTTTTTTAATTTTTTATTAGATAAATTTTATAATAAAAAATCAATCAAGATAGAGATGATAAAATAACTCATATCTAATAAATTTTGATTTAATCCAATCCAATTAATGTACTTTCTTTTAATTATAAATGATTGGGTTTAATTTTTTTTTTTTTTAAGTCGAGCTTGGGTCGAAGTAGAGGTGTAGTCAATTTGAACTGAGTTAATACAATGAGAAGCTTAAACTCAACTCAAAACGTATTGCTTGAAATTCGGTTTAAATTTAATCGAATTTTAATTTTCAAGTTCGAACTCGATTTAAAATTAATTTAATCTTGAAGTCAATGGAATTTAAGGTCAATTCCTACCGCTTATACTTTTTTTTTCTCCAAGTTGAAATTAATCCACAATTTTTTTGTATTTAAGGTTATTAAGGATTGTTCTTTAATTAAGAAAATTAAAAATTTAACATTCTAACAATAAATCAATGATGATTTATCATAATAAATAATTTTCATTTTGAAGGTTATTAATGATTTTTTTTGGTACTAATTTTAAATGTATAACTTTTATAAATATAATGTATCTTTTTTGGGATATCAAAGATTAAGCAACATATCTATCTCAAATTTGATATAAAAAATAAATTAAAAAAAAAGAATTTATCTTGCCCTATCAGCAACCTAGTAATATTTTTCTTTTATGAACAATTAAAATATCCACATCTAATCTAATATATTAATTTTGTAAAAAATAGAGGAGGGAAAGGATGTCTAAGTGGCACGATCCTACTTTTATTCTCTACTCTTTTTTGGTTTTTATGTTATTTTTATTAAATTTATTTTTATTTTTATTTAATTTTTATTAGATAAATTTTGTAAAAAAAAATTCATTGAAGTGGGATAATAAGACAATCTGTATCAGTTTAGTTTTGATTTACACCAATCTAACAAAAAAACATTTTTTTTTTAAATCAAGATATAATCAAGATTTTTTTTCTTTTTTTTTTTTTGAAAATGGGGTTGGGTTTAAAACGAATTTATGGTCTTCTGTCTCATCTTGAGTGTCCTTATGGTACCTTTATCCAATTTTTTTTATTTTCTTTATTTTTTAAAGTTTTTTTTTTTAAAGTTTTTTTATTAGATAAATTTTGTAATAAAAAAGTTAATTGAGATAGAGATGACAAAATAACTTATATCCAATAAATTTTAATTCAATCCAATCCAATTAGTACACTTTTCTTTTAATTTTGAATAATTGGGTTTAGTTTTTTTTTTTTCTAAATTGAACTCCAATTAAGTAAAGGTGTAATTGAGTTAAGTTAAGAGATGACAATAGGTCGAGCCAAGATAGGTTTTTTCTTGTCTCGAACTTGACCTTACTTTGTAACATCAATATCCAAACTCGATTGAATTTAATATTAAAATATTATTTTTATATCCAAACCAATCCAACCCGCATATGTTTAAACCTACAATTGTTTCGACCTAAAATTAATAAAATATTAAATTATTTAATATAAAATATTATTTTAAATATAAAATTAAATAAATATAAAAGATATATAAATATAAAATTAAATAAATAATAAAAAAATCATATACTTGGTCGGGTTAGGGCGGGTATGCATAAAACCTAACCTTGACTTTATTTCAAAAATACTAGACCCGAAACCCGATTTTGAAAAAAAAAATCAACTTATAGGGTTGGGTCGAAACTTGACAAGTACGGGTTGGATTGCCAACCCTAGTCAAGTTGAGTCAATGCAGTGAAAAAGTTCGAGTTCAACTCAAAATTTTCTGCTTGAAACTTGGTTTGAATTTGATTAAGTTTTAATTTTCAAGCTCGAGCTCGACTTAAAAAAAAATCGAGTTATTTGGACTTGTTCGATTAGACTTATTTATTAAATAAAAAGTTAGCTCGATTCTCATACTCAATTTCAAACTCAATTATTAGTGTTCGAACTCGAATTCAATCTCAAATTGATATATATATTTAAAGGTAAACTAGTAATTTTTAAATTAAAATAATTAAAATATATATTAAAACATAAAAATTTAATTAAACTCGCAAGCTACTCGAATAGAGTATTAAGATAATCGAACTCAATTTGCTTAATAAGTCGAGTTGCTCAAGCTCGAGCATGGCTTGATAATGATCAAGTTGAATTTGAATATTATTCAAGTCGAGCCTAAATAGTTTGCGAGTATTAGTGTATTATTTATACTTTTAGATCAGAATAATGTTTTGAGTGTTACATCTCAACCTTGGTAAATATAAAAATATATATATTTATTAGTTATTAAAATTTATATTTATATATGTATTTTATAAAAAAATATTATTTAATATTTTAATTTAATAAATTTATGTGCCATCTAGGGGTGTAATCAATTAAGTTTGAGTCGATATAGTATTAAACTCGAGCTTGAGCTCTGCTTTAAATTCGAGGCCAGAAATTTGGCTCGAACTCGATTAAATTTTATTTCTTTAACTTGAGCTCGACTCAAGGTAGAAATCAAGCTACTCGAACTTGTTCGATTAAGTTTGATTAATATGTAAAAATAAGCTTAATTTTTATATTAAACAAAAACTCGATTATTTGTACTCGAACTCGAACTCAAATTCGAGTTCGAGATATTTTATTAATTAAAATATATTAAAATATAAAAGTTTGATAAAGCTTGCAAGCTACTTGAGTCGGGTATATGAATATTCGAATTCGACTTGATTAATAAGTTAAGCTATTCGAGTTCAAGCTCGACTCGATACTAATCGAGTCGAATTCGAGTTTTATTCGAATCTAATCTAAATAACTTGTAAGTATTAATATATCATTTATTTTCTTTAGTGCCATTTAGCTATTTTATAATTTTCTTTGTTTTTTAAAATTTTATTTGTTAGATAAATTTTGTAAAGAAAAAATCATTGGATGTAGGGATGAAAAAACATCTTATATCTGATAGATTTTGATTCATTATAATCCAATCTATGCATTTTTTTAAAAATAAAGGTTGGATTAAGGTTTACCTTTTGATTAATTTAGGTCAAGTTAAGATCGGATTTTTGGTGCTCTGCCCTAACCCTCATCGCGATATATTAAAAAATATATTTTATTATTTATTTAATTTACATTTATATATGTATTATATTAATAAAGATATTATTTAATTCTTTAATTCAATAAAATTACATTTATATATAATTAAGTTATAATTTATATTAAAAAATAAATACACTTATATTTGTTTATACGTTGTCATCCATTAAAATTTAGTATATATCTCTCATAATTAAAGCATAATTTTACAAAAAATAAAAAATAGTCCGATAACAAAGTACGAGTCTTAATCTAATCTAATAATATATTAATTTTGCAGTGGATGAAGGAAACATAGGATGTCCATATGGCAACCTATCATTTCTCTATTCTTTGCTTTTTATTTTTTACTTTTATTTTGTAAATTTTTATTAGAAAAATTTTGTAAAAAAGAGCCAATGAAAGTAGAGATAATAAAATAATTTGCATCATATTAGTTTTGATTCGTTTCAATAAAATATAAGTGTGTTTTAAAAATAAATCGGGGTCGAATTGAGTTTTTTTTTTTTTAAATGAGATCAAGTTGATAACAAATTTAAAGCATTTTGCCACATCTCAGATATCCACTTAGCATTTCCCTCCTTTTGTTTATTTATTTATTTATTTTGTTTTTAAAGCTTTTGTTTTTTTTTTAGTTTTTTATTAGATAAATTTTATAATAATAAAGTCAATTGAGATAAAGATTACAAAATAATTTCATATCCAATGGGTTTTAATCCAATTTGATCTAATTGGTGTATTTTTTTAATTAAAGATAATTATGTTTATTTTTTTAAATCAAACTCAGGTTAGATTAAGATTTCAGGTGTTATGTCTTGACCTTAATATATCTAAAAAATATATTTTATTATTTATTAAATTTTATATTTATATATGTATTTATTAAAAAATTATTTAATACTTTAATTTAATAAACTAATGTGTCACCCTATTTGACTTTTTTTATTATTTTTAATTTTTTTAAAATTTTATTTATTAGATAAATTTTATAAAAAAAAGTCAATAAATATAGAATGTTTAAATAATTTATATATGATAGATTTTGATTTGTCATGATCCAAATGATGTATTTTTTAAAAATAAAGATTGAATTAAGTTTTATTTTTTAAAATAATTTGGATCAAATCGAGATTAGATTTGAGCTTATCTACCTTTTTGGGATATACAAAAAATATATTTTATTATTTATTTAATTTTTATTTATATAATTATATCATATTAATAAAAAATATTATTTAATATCTTAATTTAATAAAAAAATTACATTTATAAATAATTAAATCATAATTAATATTAAAAAATAAAGATAATAATATCTATCTATATATTATCAAAGCATGTTCTAAATCTAAAAAGCATCAAAAGGATTATTGTACTTCTTCAACGTATGTAACATGGAAACACGGACATTACAATGTATTGTCGGAGTAATGTGTCACTCTCTATTAATAAACTTCAGAGCCCGTGATAAATTATTACTATGTGTATCCCTTTCGTTAAAATTTGTTGAAATCTTACTAAGTACTAACACGCGATTAACTCGAAATAAAATCTGATTTAGATTTGGGTGAAAGTTCAAACTCGCGTTACTGAGATCATTTGTCAGCCCAAAGAACTCAAACCGGTCTGAACCTTCCGGTTTAAGGTAAGTAGTGAGCGGTTTCGTTCTAGCCGCCGTTTACATTCTCATGCAAAAACTTATACTAGAGTTTTTACAGTTTCAGAAAGCAAAGTTTGTGGTCTTTTCTTTGTCTCATAACCATAACACAAATCATTTACTAAAGATCAAAAAGCTATTGCCTATGACCATGGAGCTTGATTCCCAATATTATGCTCGTCTACTTCAATCCTGCAAAACCCACAACTCCATTCTGCTAGGAAAACAGCTCCACCTCTTTTTCCTCAAAAAGGGTATCCTTAGTTCCACTATTACAATAGGAAACCGCCTCCTCCAAATTTATGAGCGGTGTGGTACTATGACTGAGACTTGGAAGCTGTTTGATGAAATGCCACAAAAAAATTGTTTTTCTTGGAATACGGTAATTGAAGGGTACATGAAATTAGGAAAAAAAGAAAGGTCATTGGAATTGTTCAAGTTGATGCCGCGTAAAAATGATTTTTCATGGAACTTGGTTATTTCGGGATTTGCCAAAGCGGGTGAGTTAGAAGTTGCTGGGGCTTTGTTTGATGACATGCCTGAGAAAAATGGGGTTGCTTGGAATTCGATGATTCATGGTTATGCTCGAAATGGGGATGCAAGAAAGGCTGTTGAGCTATTTAAAGAATTGGGATCTTTGGGTGATGCGTTTGTGTTGGCGACTGTTATTGGGGCATGCGTTGATTTGGGAGCTATTGAATATGGAAAGCAGATTCATGCACGTATGGTGGTTGATGGACTAGAATTTAGTCCTGTGTTATGTAGTTCTCTGATAAACTTGTATGGGAAATGTGGTGATTTGGATGGTGCGAGTCGTGTTTTGAATTTGATGAAAGAACCGGATGATTTCTCTTTGTCGGCTATGATTTCAGGTTATGCAAGGTGTGGAAGAATGAGTGATGCAAGAAGAATATTTGATAGAAAAAATGATCCATGTGTTGTTTTGTGGAATTCTTTGATTTCTGGATATGTTTTGAACAATGAGGAAATTGAGGCGTTAGCTCTTTTTAATAAAATGCGGGAAAAAAGAGTTCAGCAAGACTTTTCTTCGATTGCAATTGTTTTGAGTGCCTGCAGTAGTTTATGCATTTCTGAACATGTCAAACAAATGCATGATCATGCTCATAAAGTTGGTGTGACTCATGATGTTATCATTGCCAGCACTCTGATTGATGCCTACTCCAAGTGTGGAAGGCCTAATGATGCTTGCAAGTTTTTTAGTGAGCTCCAAGCTTATGATACAATCTTACTTAACTCTATGATCACTGTGTATTCCAGTTGTGGAAGAATTGAAGATGCAAAGCAGCTTTTCAAGACAATGCCAAATAAAAACCTGATATCATGGAATTCAATGATAGTAGGTCTGAGTCAAAATGGTTGTCCAATTGAGGCATTAGATCTATTCTGCAAGATGAATAAATCAGACCTGAGGATTGACAAGTTTAGTTTGGCTAGTGTCATAAGTACCTGTGCTAGTATCTCCAGTATTAAACTTGGCGAACAAGTTTTTGCTAAAGCTATTATCATTGGACTTGAATCTGATCAAATAATATCTACCTCCCTTGTTGATTTCTACTGCAAATGTGGTTTAGTTGAATGTGGGCGAAAAATATTCGACACAATGACAAAATCAGATCAGATCTCTTGGAATTCCATGCTGATGGGTTATGCTACTAATGGTCATGGGCTTGAAGCACTGGTGTTGTTTCATGAAATGAGAAATGCTGGTGTAAGGCCAACTGATATAACATTTACAGGGGTTCTGTCTGCCTGTGATCATTGTGGACTTCTAGTGGAGGGGAAAAAGTGGTTTGATTCAATGAAATGGGACTATCATATTGATCCTGGGATAGAGCACTACTCTTGCATGGTTGATCTTTTTGCCCGTGCTGGTTGCCTTGAGGAAGCAATGAATCTTATAGGACAAATGCCTTTTAAGGCAGATGCAAGCTTGTGGTTATCAGTTTTGAGAGGCTGTGTTGCTCACGGAGACAAAACTCTTGGAAAGAAGGTTGCACAGCGGATTATTGAGCTTGATCCTGAAAACGCCAGTGCTTATGTACAGTTATCAAGCTTATTTGCAACCTCAGGTGAATGGGAAACATCAGCCAGTTTTAGAAGGATAATGAGAGAAAAACAAATACAAAAGAATCCTGGTTGCAGTTGGGCTAATAGTTGAACAAGCATTTGTGGTGGCAACTTGCAAAAGACTTGCAAAAAAAAAAAAAAGATTTCCTTTCTCCAAAGTGAGATGTATTATTCTTGGTCAGCTTGCTGTAATCCTTCAAATGTCAATCGTGCTTAGCTACTGGTTAGTGGAGATCATGTTACGCTTTGCCAGGCATAGTTTGATATGGCATGCTTGATTCATTTAACAACTTCAGCACCATGGTTGTGTTGGGCTGTCCTCTTTTACTTGCTTCACTAATCAAGCTCCGTGGAGAGATTTATGATCTTTTTCTGGGACATTTTATTTGACAAGTGCTTGTCGGTACTGTTTGTTCTAGTGATCATACTGGATGCTTGCACCCTGAAATTTGGCTTAAAGAAACAGTAGATGATTTTAGAAATATCTGCCAAATTATTCTGTCCCACTTCTCACCTATGACTTCCAACTCAGTGAATCGCAGCTGGATTATATCTGTAGGTCATCAAATGAAAGGTAGATTGACCATCTTGCTCAAACTAGATGCAGGTAATCTTTCTTTACAATATGAGATCTACTTTGCCATCAGAGTGTCATTTCTGATGCATTTAATTATGTCCTTAAAAAGTTACCAGCCTACATGCGGTGCATTCTGAAAGGAAGAGAAAGCTAAGAGCTCCATAGATAGCATGAGACTGGAAATACTACAGATTATTAACTTCACATTTGTATCCTGAAAGGGAGAGAAAGCAAAGAGCTCCGTAGAATCTAAACGGCAGCTGGATGGTGATGAAAACATTGGTTTGGAGCAGGAAAATGATGTGCAAAATTGGTATTATTGCATCAGACAATTGTTCTATTTAGCGTGAAAACCCCATTACTGGAGCCCCACAATTTGTCTTTTCAGTGCATCGTTTTTCATGTGTCTTCTTGCATTTGGACTCCCCCTTTTCTAATATTCCTTTGATGTTCTAAATCCTAATGCACTGACGTATAATCTGGGACAACTTTTTCAGTCTCTATTATTTGCCCCTAATTGTTGGCTGCCGCACTATCATTTTAACTTGCAAACAAATCATACACGTCTTGGATCATTCTTTGCTATCTAAGGTTGGACCACATAATTAATGAATACTTTTTTTTCCCTATTTTCTTCCTTCTCAGATGAAATATAAGATTGAATTTCCTCAATCAATTATTAATTTGAAAAAAAAAATTGAAAAACAACTATAACAATTCTAATAATTTATATCTCATACATTTTCTTGATCAATGCTCCATATTGAAAAAAATATTTTAGAAAAATTAACATAGATAATTTGCCCTCAATGTTTCTTTGGCAGTCAAGCCCTTGGTAGGAATTAAAATAAAAATGCATAAAAAAAATTTAACAACATAAAGGAATAAATAGTAAATAGAATAAATAATATTAAAATAACGTCTTTGGTAAAAGCAATTTATTAAGTGATTTTATACCAAAAAAAGTGTTGTTAATGAAATATTTTAAAAAATTTTAGTTTTCAAGAATAAAAAAATTGAATATATGATCAAAATCAACTTAGTTTAAGGAATTTTTTCTGCCTTTCTTGACAATGTAGTTTATTTGTTTATTTATTTATTTTTATTTTGCGGTAGAGGAATTTTGAATTTTTGCTCTATATATTTCTTCCGGTTGAGTTAATAAGTTTGTTTATCCGAGATTTAATGTATTCATAAAAAATTAACTTCCTATAATCTCTCAACAAATTCAAATAAAAAAAAGTATTTTTTTTTTTTTTGTTACTTGAACTGATAGTTTATTTGAAATTGTCAATTAGGATGACGACCAATACGGCAAAGACATCTGTGGAACACCCTTAGACATAGAACCGAGGCGAAATGTAGTAGGGTGATTTAAATGTAAGGTCACATAAGTAGCATTAGCTAATCTAATCTAAGTTATTGGGTATATTGCATTTGCACATTGTTGGAAGGTGAGCAATTAGAGACAAAAAGCAAAAAAAAGAATAATAATAGAGTTGGTTAAAGAATGTGTAATATATCTTTAAAAAAAAGAATTTGTAATTTAAAAGAAAAGGCTTGCCCTATGTTTGAATTGAGGGAAAGTAAAGGAAAGGAAAAGAAAATAAAGAAAAGTAATGAAAACAAAAAAACCTTCTTTTATTCGGATAAACTTTTGATTTAAAAGAAAGAAAAGAAGAGAAAACTCAATAACCTTTGATTTCTCTTGTAATCATTCATTTTTTTAATATCTCAATTTAGAAAAAAAACTAAGGAAATGAAAGTTAAAAAAATTTTATTTTTATAAAAAAACTATTATATTCATTTTTTTTATTAATATTAAAAACTTAGTAAAAAAAACCTAACCACATTACAATTTTCATGTAATTTTTTCAAAGCCATTACTTTTTTCAAGTAAGTTTCACATGTCGCTTCCAATATCAAAATTTTTTATAATATTTTGGTGATTTGATTTTGATGAATGATTAAATATGAATAGACATATTTTTTAGGTTTATAAGATGTAATATTTTTATGTGATTGCATTTTTTATGTTTAATAGCTTTTATATGAATACATCACCAAAGTGATAGTGTGTTGAAATTTTGACAATGACAAAAAAATTCATCAATGCATGTTTATAAAATATTTTTTTGTTTTACTTTATTAAAAATCATAGATATAGTAATAATTGTGAGGTCATATAAGATAGCAAATATATCATGATCCAAGAGTACGCTAAAAATATCCAAACAAAAAGTACATATATCTTTTCCTTTCCTTCAAAAAACTTTCTTTTCCTTCTCTTTTCTTTTATTTCCTTTTCTTTATAAATATTTATCCAAACATTACCTAAAAGTAAAACTTGGATAAAAATCATAAATTTAAGTCTTAATACTCATTTGAAGAAAAAAAATCCACATTTATACAAATCTATTTGATCATGTTGTGTCAAGTACTACATAAAGCAATACCTCTTGATTAGAAAATGAGATGCATAACTCTTCAAGACATTAACTCAAGAAGGGTTTTGGTTTAATTACTAAAAATTAGGCATCAATATTTCATTAAAAATCCTTGAGCGGTTGGTTGTATTATGAACATAACAAGATATTATTATCAAAGTCAACACCAAAATATATCATGTATGAATTAAGTCTGTTTTGTATTTTAATTTTAATTTTATTTTCAGAGAAGAAAGATATGTATTTGTTCTTTACAAAAAAAAAAAAAAAACACTTACCATGAAATCAGAAATTAAATACCTATAAGGTAATCAAACTTGCTTCATGCTAGCTTTATATTTTACATTATTCTTTTTTTTTTTTTTTGTTGATTGCATTAGCATTGAGCTTACACTTAATATTATAAATGTTTAAAATCGTTACATTACATCAAACTGGAAGAAGTTTAAGATTAAGAATATCCTTGCAAAACAATTAATATAATTATTCATTTACATTGGTTTGACAAGAACAATTTTTTGAAAACGAACATGCATGTCAAGAGAGTACATGAGTGTAGTTATTCAATCATATATAGTTTTGATAAAAATATAAAAAGGATTAATTGAAATGATTATTTCATGTTACCATATCTTTTCTCATGATAAATTGGGTGTAAATGTTTCATATATGCTTTACAGACAAGTAGATTTCAAGTTGCACTTTGTCATGGGAGTAAAATAAAGTTATATATTTGTAATTTAGTTATAAAAGTAAAATAAAATTATGTATTAATAATTTAAATATTGAATAATGTATAAGAGAAAAAGAGTTGTATAACTATTTATAATTTGAAAATTTACATCAGCTAAAATAACTAATGATGAGATATTAAACTTATTCATTAAAAACTTGTTTGTTTGTCATCATCATTGGATCACAAAAAGATAAGTAATCCTGTTTGCAAGTTAACATTCAACAAAGAGAAATAAACCTATCCAAAAAGTTCAACAATGAAAAATAAACAAAATAACCTATCACTTTATCTATGTTGTCAAAGAGTGATGGATAGAGAAACTACTATGTTTTCATAATCTAGTAAAGGAACATTAAAACCTAAATTTGAATCCTTATTTGCATTTTGTTATATAAAAATGGATACAAGTAGCAAAATAAAAAATGTCAATAAGCAAAACAATAGAACGCAAACATGTGGACAAATAGGAGAAAAGAGATGATATCAATGCCCAAATGTATTCTTTAAAGTTTTGTTTCCATGTACTTCTTGTTGTTTGTGTGAAAATGCTATTAAGTTTTGAAATTGATTGTTAAGAACTTTACAAGTAAGGAAAAAGATATCAGCTATCAAATGCCACCAAAATTCTACTACATGAATTAGATATTCTAGGGCCATTTGAGTCATAAGACATCACAACCTTCAATTATGGCTTATCTTTCTGTAAAATTCTATCATTTAATTGAATATAAAGCAACTAACCTTATCTTTTCCAAGAAAAATAGACTTTTTATACAGGAGCTCAGAAAAGATGCAACCAATAGACCATACATCAATAGCTAGATCATACTTTGTTACTCCAAGAAATAGCTCTAGAGGTTTGTGAAAATGACAAAAAATGAAAAGTAAATGTTGTAGTAGTTAAAAATTATGATTGCATTTCTCATGTTTCTCTTTAAATAATCACATTTTAAGAAAATCCTCAAAGCAAACAAATTTGAAACCAACCAAAAGTCAAAATTAATGATAATCTTGAACTATACCTTAAATTAAGGTAAACAACTTCAAAAAAGAATTCTTACTAAAAAATGGTGCAAAGCTAATAGTACATGTAAATTAAAATATATACCTCTAATTGCCTCAATACTTTCAAAGAACAATAATTGTACAAAAAACAGTAAAAAGTAACTAGACAGATGTATTTAAAAGATAAATATATAGAAATGAATTAACTTTGTAAGCTCACTTATCAGAATTTGAAGTAAAGGCAAACAAACACTTATACCCATGAAAGAAAAAATAAAAACACATTAGAATACTAAGTTGGATAAAGAAACAAATGTTAATAAGTTGTATACCTACTCACTAATCCTAAAATTGGTGTATTTGGCTAATTATATAACACTATCTATTATACATAATAGGCAAAACAAATAATAACATTGTAAATTGCTTTTGATATTGATATTTTGCTTTAGCAAAAGTCTATCTACTTGCTAATTGCATGCAACGGGTAAGTATTGCATCAACAGAAAAACATATTTATTTCTTGTATTTCCAATAGACATAGATCTTAATAAAAAATTATTTTTTTCATTGAAAAATTTGCAATAGGAAGTTCATGATTGAAACATCAATAATAAGTTAAAAAAATTAATCATAACACAATCAATAACTATTGTAATATCAAGAACTAAAAATTACATTGCATTCATTTTTCTGTAACATTTACAAAATATATTAAGTGCAAAGTGGTTAAAACATATCTCCATGAAATAAGAAATTTCACAACTTTATAACTAAACTAACTAACTAAAGCTTCATTGATAGATTATGAAAAGATATTGTTTCTAGATTAGAGTATCTAAAAAAATCTCATAGTCATTTGCAAAATAAGCAAAATAGATACATAAAAAATAATAGATAAAATAAACAAATATACTGTTAGTAGTTGTAGACTATTAGTTGAACTTGATGTTCCTCTAATAAGTCTAAGCAATATTAATTTATTTAAATTTGAAAAGGCAATTAAAATTTTCCTTAAGAAAATTAGTTACATGCTTAATAACTGAAAGCATGAACTATCATGGGGCTTAACTAGGCATTTCCAACAATTGGACATAACCATTTCATAAACAAAGACAATCAAAAGATTATTAACCGTATAAGCAATATTAATTTATTTAAATTTGAAAAGGCAATTAAAATTTTCCTTAAGAAAATTAGTTACATGCTTAATAACTGAAAGCATGAACTATCATGAGGCTTAACTAGGCATTTCCAACAATTGGACATAACCATTTCATAAACAAAGACAATCAAAAGATTATTAACCCCTAAGCTTAAAATGACATACTTTTCTTAGGTATGAAATTCATGTATGCGACAAACTAATTAATGCATAATGACAGCCTTTAAATTGAGTCACTCAACGCATTAACAAATCAAACTCCACAATATAATCAATTTCAAAGTTATAGCATTAGATGGGAAAACTTTAAAATGAAACTACAAAAAGTTAACTACCCGATTGTAATTGGCTTGAATAGTTTTGCCACAATCATTTTGCAGGTTAAATAAATAAAATGCATAGTTTTAGAGTAATCACGATCATTTTTTTCATATTGTTTCTTGATTTCAAATTTTAATCCATATTCCTTTGGTTATTTCTAAAACAAAGTCTTATCTTATACAATAGCTCTACAATCTTTGAAATGTATAACCTTAGTTAAACTCATATTCATTAACCAAATAATAAGCCAATTTTAACCCAATTATTATACGTTGGTTTGTATACCCTCAAAATAGTCACAATTAGAACTAATGACAAACTTGAATATAATTAAAGTTACATCAAATGTTAATGGTTTTATGATCAATACTTCCTTGATGTAGCTTCTAGTAGGGCATATAAAACATTATGACCATCAGAACCAAGAACTAACCCCTATTTGTTGGTGCAACTTGAGTGGGCACTAGTAGGGTAACACTATTGGTTCCATTTTTTTTTTCAAGTTTGAGGAGGATATAGTTCCCATAGCACAACTTTTGTGTCTTCTGAATTAGAGACCATCAGCTTGTAGTCAGTTGAGCATGAGATAGAGTTGCATTGCAAGAATAGATACTTTTATTTCTAGACTGTAATGCAAATAGTTATAATAGCATAGAATAACTAATTAATAATTTAAAATCACCAACATTAATGAGTTAATGCAATTGAAGAATAGCATGATACATTGTCAGTCATAATTACACAATTATAGCTTATCATGATAATAATTACATTAAATGAGATCACATAAGATAATTTAAAGGAAAATAATAAAATGTAAGAATTTCGACCTTAGAATTTTCACTGTATTGTAACATAGTGGCATTTAAGAATTACAACAAGATTTCCTTTGTGATAATTGTATATTCTAACCCTGTCACCATGAAAGAAATAAAAAGGCAAGTTAAAGGCAACTCTTTGCAGATAGCTACCTAATAAATGATCACTATGCAACTAGTTACATCTAATATATATTTTTTGGTTGAGTCTTGATTTTCGAGGAGAAATATAGAACAATAACTTAGGAATTGTATTATTCCAAGAGTTGTATCAAGGTTATTCGAACCACATTTTCTCACTAGTTTAGCTTTAAACTTTTAAATTACCTAAAAATTTATCAATGAAAAAATTCATAATTATTATTACATTCCTACTAAATTAAAATCTGCAAGTTTTTTTTTTTTTTTTAAATCTAAGGTAGGGAGAAAGCGATTAACATGTGTTATCATAAAACTTAAAATAAAAAATCTACAGTAAAAAAAAACACATATATCCAAATAAAATTAAGAGGAAAAATTGTGAGAAAAAAGTTTAAAAAAAAAAAAAAACTTTCCTTACCACTTTTTCTATTTCTTTTTTCTTTTATTTTAAGTTGAAATTGGTAACAACATGGCACTAGTGAAGTTACAACAACCAACAAAAATCCAAAGAAGAAAAAACTTTAATTGAAAAATTAAAAACAAAAAAACAAAAAAAAGCTTTCCAAGAAAGGACAAACCTTTTTCCTCTTTTAATTTGTACATTGGATTTCATTTTCACAAAATCTTTCTTCCTCTTCAATAATCATGTACATAAATAATTAAAATCCAATAATTAATAATGCATGAAAAACAGAAACAATAAAACAAACAACAAATATGCACACAAACAACAATGTCAAAATCACAAAAAGATTTATTATTAACTTTAGTTATCAACTAAAAAACAAAGCCTGCAATCCAAGATATAGGAAAAAGCCATGAACATTAAACTGAAACTGAGGTTAAGTACAACATTAATAGCATTGTTATTCATCATTATATCTTTCAATATCTTGGCTTCACCTATGATTCTAGGCTCCAACACCCACCTTCAATATGCTAAAACCGTCTAGCTTCATTTAACATTTTGTCCTCAGAGCCTTGCTTTTGACTCCAACAAAGATGGCTTATACACCGACATTGCTGATGGTCAGATTTAAAGAAGAAAAGTAGCGCACAATGGAAGAAGACAAAGAGAAAGAGAGAGAATAGAGGCGGAGAAAATAAAGCCGAGGTGTATGACCCAAATTAACCTTCAATTTTTTTTTGAAGACATAGTTGAAGTGTATAGGAAATTGGAGAATTGAGAGGCCGAAGATAACTTTTATTAATAGTTATAGATGAGATATATAATTTTTCCACTCTGATTTGGATAAAAGTAGAGATAATTTAACATCCACAACTTAAGTAAGGGAGGATTGAAGGTTTGTTGGACTTTAGACTTAGATTATCTCCAATTAGAAATTACCCCTAACAGATACATAACCCAAAAATGTGATAATTAATCAAGAGTAATTAATTTAATAAGAAATTATATTTGATGCACCTTATTAACAAGTAAGCATAAATTTTTATAAACTTTTAAAATAAATAGATAAAAATTTAACTTCTTTAAAATTTTTTTATTAATGAGATTGCATCATATAATTTACTGTAAATAAATAAATTTTAAAAATTAACATTTGTATCAAATATAAATTTATTAAATAAAATTAACGAAAGAAAGTTAAGCAGGTAACGCATTCTGTCAAAGAAAATTCCCATACTAATCGGTGCAATTTAGCATATTAATTGCAAGTTTATTCGTTAGAAGGAAAGCTCTTTTATGGCAGTGATATATAGCTACGAAGGATTATAATCTTACACAGACCGATCTGGTTAAGGATATGCAGTTTCCATAGTGAATTTTCTTTTCATAAATAGCTGTGGCTTTTATAGAAAAATGTGTTACAGAAATTTTAAAAATTAGTTGGAAAAAATTAAAAGAAATTAATGGGCTGTCACACCACGTAAAAAGGACTTGCACTTACATGTTCCCAACGTGAGGGAGGGAGGGAATGAGAACAAAGCATCGATAAACCGAGTGAGACAAGAAGTTCTCCACCACAAGTTCTCTTTGGTGACCACCAATTTCTCATCATCATCATCATCATCATCATCTTCTTCTTCTTCTTCTTCTTCTTCTTCTTCTTTTTCTTTAGCATCGATCATTATCTTGCAAAGCAATGTTTTTCTGTAATATTTGGCTGGAATTGGCCTGAATTATTGTTTAATTACAGCAACTTGTTTAATTTATATTATTGTGATGGGAAGTTGGGTGAGAACAAGATCAAGTGCGATTGTTCATCATATCAGGGCATTTTCAATGATGGATTTCAGGGGTTCTTCATGGAGCTATCCTAATTTCCAATCTGATTCTTCTTCAACTTTACTCCTATGTTCGTTTCCATACAATATAGCTTCCCTTTTCTCGGTTAAGCGTTTCAAATCCACGGTAGCTGGTAAACAACTGGATCCTCAACATGCTACTGATAGCCATAATCAGGTAATTACGCACTCTTCACTTTGATAATTAATTAGTCCATCAATTAAAATCTATGAAATTAGTAATTAAGATTGTTAACAGTTTATTTCCTTCTTAGTTAAATTTTACAGTTACTTGAAAGGTTAATTATATTTTACTATATATAGTAACAATTTCTTTTTTTTTTGTTGTTGGAGAATTAATACTGAAATTTGAATCTAATTCTTTGAGAATATGCCTTATATAAATCAAATGCTCCAGTGTTACAATATAATTATTCCAAAATTTAAATCAAGTGTTTTTTAAAATTTTTTTTAGTACTTAAAATTATTAAAGATTGAAAAAAACTAAAAAAAATAAAAAAATAATTATTTTAGTGTTACTTATTATTATTATATTAAAATTTTAATACAACACTTAAAAATAGTATCTTTGATTGGTCGGATTTAACCAGTTATTGGGCCCCTTCATTCTTTTCGAGCAGTCCTGATTCCCTTCCCACTAACCTTTTAGGTCTCAGCCCATGACTACCTTAATCAACGCTTTGTTGACTTATAGTCAATTAGGTAAATCTCTTTTTTTTTTTTTGTCGAAATTTGGTATTAATTAAATACCATTTTGTTTGAATTTCTTCTATCGCTGGAAACTCATATTTTTATATCATATAAAATATTAAAATTAATATATTTATATAGTGTTTACATAAAAATTAAGTCACGTCAATATGTAAAACATATATATTTTTTATTTTTGTAAAATTTAAAAATTATTTTTTAAAATTTTAAATCATGTTAATTTTTTTTTTTTGTGTCTTTGCATCTTGATTTAAATTATAATGTTTAACATTTAACAATAATTTGATAAGGTTTTTTAACCACATTGAATTTGGTAATCATTTGAACAAAAAACTTTGTCAATTTTTAACCTGGTTTAACCGAATTAATGTAAACCAATTTTATAAGATTGAGAGGGAAAAAGCTTCGTAGATGTAAATTAGATATAGAAATCTAAATGATGGTAAAAAAAAAAAAAGTTTTGGATTTTAAATCATTATACTTAATTTATTCTTTATTACTTTGGCAGGCATTGGATTTTCCAGGAGGAAAAGTTACATATACTTCTGGAATTAAATTCATTCTAGGGTTTTCGGAGAAAAGAATACCTTGCTATCGAGTTCTTGATGATGATGGAGAGTTAATCAGAGAGTGTGATTTTGAACAGGTATCCATAATTTTTACCAAAAAAAAAAAAAAAACCTAAACTTAATAATGCTGAAGATATTTGGTACAAAAATTTTACAAAATTCATGTTAAACTATACCAATAGGTCAACAAAGAATTGGCAGTAAAAATGTACAGTGACATGGTTACTCTGCAAATGATGGATACTTTATTCTATGAAGCACAAAGGCAAGGGAGAATATCCTTCTATTTAACATCATTCGGCGAAGAAGCCATTAACATAGCATCTGCTGCTGCACTCAGCAAACATGATATTGTTTTGCCTCAGGTAAAATTTTGGCTAATAAGAAAAAAAAATGTATATTTAATGGTGCGGGTTGCTCATGATCTAATAATGTGATGCCCAGTACCGGGAACCTGGAGTTCTATTGTGGCGTGGTTTCACACTGCAAGAATTTGCGAACCAATGCTTTGGAAACAAGGCTGATGGTGGGAAAGGCAGGCAGATGCCAATTCATTACGGGTCAAGCAAGCACAACTATGTCACTGTTTCATCCCCTATTGCGTAAGATATGTTGAACTCTGAATTCATTACTAAATTTCGATCATTGATGTTCAACTATGAATGTTTTTGTTCTGTCCATCTGCTTGCCAGAACTCAGCTTCCTCAAGCTGCAGGCATGGCTTATTCTCTTAAGATGGATAAGAAGGATGCGTGTGCTGTTGTGTTTATTGGCGATGGTGGTACCAGTGAGGTTTATGAATCAATAATCTCTAGATCCCTATCAGTTTTCTATCCATGAGCTAAAACTCGTCTCTCACTTTGTCATTGATTATCAACTGCATTTTCATTTTTCAGGGTGATTTTCATGCTGGTTTGAACTTTGCAGCAGTTATGGAAGCTCCAGTCATTTTTGTTTGTCGCAACAATGGCTGGGCCATAAGTACACCTATATCAGAACAATTTCGAAGTATGTTTTCTTTCATCAATGGTTGACAGACTCCCAATATTTCCTTATTTCTACCCCGATATAATCAGTCGTGTTTGGCAGGTGATGGTATTGTTGTTAAGGGCCAAGCCTATGGAATCCCAAGCATCCGGGTGGATGGAACTGATGCACTTGCTGTTTATAGTGCAATTCATGCTGCTCGCAATATGGCAATAAGTGAGCAAGGACCTGTCTTAGTTGAGGTAAGATCACACTTGGTATTCCCTTCCAAATGTAAAACTATAATTCGTTGTTTCATGCCAATACAATGTTTTGAATTTAATAAATGCAGACTCTTGCATATAGAGTAGGGCACCATTCCACATCAGATGATTCGACCAAGTATCGTCCACTTGATGAAATAGAATACTGGAAAATGGATCGAAACCCTGTAAATAAATTTAGAAAATGGGTTGAAAGTAACAGCTGGTGGAGTGAAAGAGAAGAAGCTGAACACCGAAGTAGCATAAAGAAGCAGGTGATTACATATATGTTCTATGTAATTCATTTAAAGCACTTTTCAATGCCAAGTTTCATAATTTTCTTCTAATCAATTACATGTGTGCAGCTATTGCAAGCTATTCAAGTGGCAGAGAGAACAGAGAAACCTCCACTTACAGAGTTGTTCTCGGATGTCTACGATCTTCCGCCATCTAACCTTCTTGAGCAAGAGAAACAACTCAGACAAACTATCAATAAACATGCACAAGATTTCCCTTCTGATGTTTCTCTGAATTAAGTAGCTTATGCAGAGAGAGAGTTTCAAATTTACAGTCAACCACCATCTGTTGTCTTCAACTGTATGATTACCAAGAATTTCCTCAACTTCATTAGTAGTTAAAATTCTCCAACAGTTTGATTTTATGTATTTGATTTCAAACCTCTAAATCTGGGTAAATACCTGATTTTTGTTATTCGTTACACCAAAGGAGAGGCTATTGACAGAATTGGCTAATTGCGACATTACACCTAAGCTGTTATGAACAAAATAAGCCCACAAAGGTGAAAGAGATGATATGTGGTATATCATTATTGATGAAAATCAGAAAATGAGGCCACATTGTGGGCTTTGTTGGACTGGTAGAAGAGGCAAATCGATAAGATTTACGACTAGCCACATTACATACAAGCTTTTCTGAATGGGTCCTCCTACAAGATGGAGGATAATGAGGATTGGATGGGTGACAGATTTTTAATGAAAAATCATAATAAATAACCGATAAGTGATTGGTTTAATCGGTTAAAATCATTCTTCTCGATAAAAAAGTTTTGAGTTCGAATTCTGTCGATTGTCATTTGTTAGGATCATCTCGAATACACGATTTACAATTATCTGTCTTAGGCTGTCAAGTACAGCACATCTTGTCTTGATTTGAGAGACTGACATATTGTCTACATTGACTTGAGGGACTAAACAATCTATCTACCCCGAATTTTTTTTTATCAAAAAAAAAAATCATAATAAATGACATGAAAATCTAGGCATTTGAAGCAGGCATTATTTTGACTGTTAGATTAGTCTATACTCTTGTAGTTTTTTTTTTTTTTTTTTGTTGCATACTTTTATACTTGCATGTATTCTCCAACTAATGCTGGAAATATATATAATTCAGATATTTTGTAATAAATATCAAATTTTTTAAAATAAATTTTAAATTTTCTTACATAAAAAATAAACTATTGTCAAACATTTATATAAGTTAGACTTTTTATATTCATACTCTTTAAAACTATTATTTATTAAAATTTATTGATACTTTTACCATCTTACTCCACGCAACTGAAAAAAAAAAAAAAAATAGCGTCCGATGTAAGTGAAAACAAATACTGGTCTTAGGACGGATTCAAAACCCTTTTTATTATATAATTTTTTAAAAAAATATTCTCACTTTTTTCCCTCTCTTTCCTTGCGTTTGCTGAAGAAGAACAATAAGAGGAGGGAAAAAAAGGGTCTATAACACTTAAGAATTGGTAGTTTCGAATATTGGCTGCTGCTCTCAAAGTTGGCAGTTGTAAAATTAGTATAAGTTAATTGATATATTATATTTTTATTGCAATGTGAACTAATTTATTGAAATTGGATAATAAGTTTTGGCTTGCGTTAATGTTACTTTTATTTGAAATGGGTTTGGCAAAAATTGTTATTTTATTTTTTGGTTATTTGAATATTAGCCGAAGAATGATGCTTGGAGAGTTTGTCATAGGAAAGTTCGCTCCTTAGTGGAAAGACTTGTGCTTGTTTCATTGATTATGATTCTTGTTCATGCAATTTTGTCACTAGCATTGAAGCTTGATGCTTTGTAATGCTAAATTTGTTATTTCGTCCTTTATGTGGATTGAAACTCTCGCTGTAGAACTGTCTTGGTAGAGTTGTGGTTCTCGAATTGTTCCGTGAGCCTCTGGAAGCTTTTTATAATAAGTGTTACTTTACTTGATAAACCTCTTAAGAGGGAACCAATGGTTGGAATGAAACCTATTGAAACCATTCCTTAAGAAACAACAGTGGATATTGCGAAACATGAGCCCAAGGAGTCCAAGATGAAAGTGCCACTTCATGTGATGCAACACAGGTGGTCTTGAAAAAAGTGCAAGTTGAAACTCTCAAAAAAAGTTTGTTGAAAATTGATCCTTCAATGTTGGGGCATTATCTGACTTCTGACATGTGCATGCTCTTTTTGAATAATACAGAATGCAATGATTATCAGCATCATCCAAGTAACAAATTTTACCTCAAAAAAAGTCGTAAAATGGTTTGAAGATCAGCACAATGAAGATGTAATTTCTGAGCATCACAAGTCTTGTAAGATGTTTGATTCTGAAACAGTTTTTTATTGAAACACTTTGTGTATTTGACATATAGATCAGTACATAAGATACTGTATTAGAGGTGTGATGCCATTTTATGTGCTTCTTAGGATCATCAAAAGCAACCGAAATGTAACAATGTCAAAGTTAAAGCTCCTATAATAAAATGTGTTAAGCAAAATGTGAATAATCTTAAAGCCCCATATTGTTTGTTTTAATTAGTGAAGACTTTCAATGACTCATTGTTCTAATATTTGAACTGAGTTTAAATATTGGACCTAACCAACATGTTTATGTTGAAATATTAGTATCACTTTAAAAATTGTTTTAAATAAATAATTTAGATATTCAATGCTTAAAACTGAATAAGAGGGCTATATGAATAGGAAAATTAATGGTATTTATTGTTTTCATGAAATTATTTGATAACCAATGATAGGTTCATCCAAATATATTTCGTAAAATATAGTGGTGAACAGAAAGTGGTGTATCTAAGGGATTTATGTAAACTTTGAAAGAATTGGAATTCTTCATATTTTTATAAATCTTCTTCTGTACCATTTTCATTTAATTCTTTTTTGCATTAGTTGAATTGATCTTTAATTTAAGTTTTCTTCCACACAAATGGTTCAAATTTTATTTAATGTTGGAAAGCTATATTAATCCCTGAAATTATTATTATTTTTTTAATTTGAACTAAAGCATACTTTTATACAAGAGAAAGCGCTACAACTCTAATATAACTCGAATGAAGCAATGGCTCCCGTATCAGTTTTGGGATTTTTTTATTATTATTTTGGCTTTTCATGTATTTTTAGGTCCAAAATTAGAAGCGTTGAAACTAGATGCGTTCGTGATTTGTTAATAAATGTTAAATTTATAACTTCAATGATAAATATTTAAATCCTAATAATCTTAAATTAAAAAAAAATGCTTAATGCAAGAGGCGACATTGATGACATAGTTCAGAAACCATAACCTTTTACAGTTAATGTTATTAAGGAATTTTAGGACAAGGATACAAGAACAGCATTACACAAAACTTACTGGAAAGGGAAAAGAGATACAGGAACCTCTAGGCTTAGAGGCCAGTTGATTGGTAATTAAAATGGGACAATTCTCTTATTAAAGTGAAGATGCAAGGTGTCGTAACGGTTTTGTGTCTGTCTAATGAATTTAAAAATGAAATAAAAAAATAACGAAATTATCATCAATCTTTTTTTAATTATGTATAATTGACTACCTATTAAAATATATCATTTTAATGAAATCTTAAAATTAATTAAAATTTATTAAAAAGATAATTTTAGGATTTGTGTAACAGTCTAGATTCAGGAGTCAGTTATGTGTGGAGAAAGATTAGTACCCCTCAGTGCTCGTTAAAAAATAGTACCACTTAACTACGTGTTATCCTTTGATTTTGATAGAAAATAGTCTCATTATTTTCGGTGTTTGAAAAATAATTTTTTTGATTTTTTATTTATTAGAAATTGTTTTTTATTTTTTATTTATTGTTTGATTTTTATTCGAGAAAAATAAATTAAAACTTTTTTATTAAAATAATTCTTAAAATATTCAAATATGTTGGTAACATTAGAAGAATTTTTTCTTACATAGAGATTTCTTAGGCATCACTTCTCAGAATACTTTAGACTTTCATCTTTAGAGCTTCAAATTTACTTTTCGTAAAAAATTATATAATGCATGCAATACAAATGATAATACGTTAATACACACATTTTATTTTTTGTTTAGAAATTTTATTAATTTTTCATTTAAAACTTTGAAGAAAATATAATTTTTATTATATTGAAGATTTTCTATAAATATTTCAATACATTGGTAATATTTTTAAAAAATCTTCTCATCTAGGGATTTCTTAAACTTCTCTACTCGAAATAATTTTAGAATCTCATCATCGGATAAAATTTCTTTTTTTTTTCTCATTTTTATTACTATTTTGTTATTATTATTAATTAATTTTATTATTTTATTAAAAAAATTTTTTATTGTATTGAAAACTTTTTTTAAATACTCCAATACATTGGTAATATTTAAAAAAATTCTTCTTACCTAGAAATTTCGTAGGTATCACTACTTAAAATACTTTTGAATCTTATCGTCGGATAAAAATTTTTTTTTCTTATTTTGTATTATATTTATTTAATTATACTTATCAAAAACTTTTATTATAAATTTTATTATTTATTATTATTAATTATTATTATAAAACAATAAAAATTTATTTTGGTAAATTTAAACATTTTTATATGCATAAATATTAATAATAAAATTTTTTAAAAAATAATAATAATATTAAAAAAATTCAAAAAAAAGTTTTTTTTACCTGAACCAGACCGGTCAATTGTCCGGTCAATGCAATTTGAGCCGGTTCGATGGTTTGATCCTGTCTGATCCGGTTGGTTGGATTCAGCGGTTAGACGTCAATTTGGTCCGATTTGGGCCGGCTCAACTGGATCGATAGAGAGGCAAAAGGGAGAATAAATCATCGGGTCGGGTACGTTGATCCCGGGTCAGTTTGCCAGTCGACGCGCGGATCTTATGGGGTCGAAACGGCGTCGTTTTGCTATCTTTTTAAACGACATCGTTTTGAAATTCTATTTAAAGGCCAAATTAGCTTTTTTTTTTCAGTCTTCTTCTTCTTTCTCTCTTTTCCTCTCAGACGTTCCCCCTCTCTTTCTCTAAAACCTAGAATCTGGCTATTACTCCGTCGCATCGACCGCCGTAGGTGGTCGCCGATCGCCGTATATCGATCGTCAAAAAAATTTAAAATCTCCTAAAATTTTCTCTTTATCCCCCTAAACACGAATCCGAGCTTAGTTTCACAAAAGGCCTTGAACCGCATAAATCTGGCCTGAAAGATTCAATCAAAGTGGCTTTTTTTATTTTTTTTATTTTTTTATAGACTGACGTTGTGGTTCCCGTTCCAAGGATTGTAATTTTGCTTGTATTTTGGTGCTTGATGTTTTTTTGCAAGAAGCTTTTTTTTTAGTATCTTTTTTTGATTTGTTTTTTATTGTTTTTTTTTTTTTGCAGGATCTCTGGGCTTCTCCCTTCTTTTTCATCGATTTTATTGCTCTATTTATAGAGTAAAAAGAAAACCAAAATCCTAAAAAATACGAGA